GCTTCAACACTGATCCTAATCCCACCCAAAATCCTGGGTACACCGGCTGAGTGAATGTAGTTTTCACTTTGTGAAGTAACACCATCGTTTCAGACACATTGTAGAAAGACAAAGTCCCAGCTCGGAGGTCCAGATACACTCCGATCCTGCTGCCGCAGAGAGCCCCGATGGTCGCGCTCTCCTTATTGTGCTGAAATGAACAGACGGAGTTGGAGCAGTCCAGACTCCAGGATTTGGAGTTGTGCCCCAGCTTGCTGTCGCTCCCTCCTCCACTTCTACTCATGTTCTTGTAGCAGACGCCGATGGAAACCCCTCCCTTCCCAACCCACTCCACCTCCCAGTAGCAGCGTCCGGCCATACCGGCTCTGCACAGCACCTGGGCCCAGTTGGTGAAGCGGTCCGGGTGGTCGGGGTAAGGCTGCGGCTCCAAACGTGTGGTCACCACTCTCCGACCATCAGAGAAGTTTAGATAAGGATTGGCTGTGTTTGGATCCAGGGTTAAATCATTGTAATCTGGACAGAGGAGAAAAGAAGAATACATTTAGTCCTGGGTAAATTTATATTCAAAAGTTTAATGTATGTGTCAACAATATATTCAATAATTTCAGAAGCAAATCAATAATTGCACTCACATTGTAGGAAATCATCTCTCGTCTTCGGTTCTGAGTTGAACTGAACTGAATTTTTTGCTGTTGGAGATCAGAGTTATACATGGAATTACTGAAAAACTAATTTGACCATAAAAAGTAAAAGGCATGTACCTTTAGTCTTCTCAGAGGTGCTTTGATTGCTGGTTTCCTTCAGTGAAATCACTAAATGCAAAGAAAAAAATTAATTTATTTTATCATTTCTGAAAACAAATTCTGATTTTATGTTTGTTGAGAAAAAGACGTACCTTTCTCAGAGATTTTTTGGAATTCTTTTTCGAGTGTTTCAGCCAGACTGTCCTTCAGATCAGCCAGGGCTCCTTTCGTGGTTTTGTACATTAAATATTGAAGTGCATCAGTTCTGGGCATCTCCACCGTCTTTGTAGGGAAATGAAAAGACTTGGAGCTCTGCAGTCACAACAAATTATTATCGAAATTATTGTTTGTTATTATCGTTTATCACGCTACTGCACAGACAATGTCTATTTCACTACTGCAGTCATACACTCTAGCCTTAAGAGTTGTGTGTTCTTGAAAGTTCAAATTTTATCTTAGATTCTTAAATTTATTGATAACATTTTCTCTGTATTATCTGAATGCAAAATTTAAAAAAAGATTTTCTCTGATTTAGTTTGTTTCTTCTCAAAATACCAACTTTTTTTAACATTGACTTTATTCTCGATACACAAAGTAAATAAAGTAATAATTCTTAAAGATGCTGTTACAATAATCAAAGTTTCAGGAAATAAACTTGGACAAGCCTCTGCTTTAGTTTCCTACCTGAAGGAAGTGGACGTGATCCTCAGAGCGACAGAGCTTCTCCAGCTCGGCGTCAGTCCTCCTCAGCTCCACTATCTCCCTCTGCAACTTCTCCAGCAGCTCCTCAGCCTGACTGACAGCAGCTCTCTCCTGGACACGGATCAGCTCCTTCACCTCGCTGCCTTGTTTCTCTATGGAGCGGATCAGCCTGGAGAAAATCCTCTCGCTCTCATCCACTGCTGCTTCTGTGGAGTGCTGCGGAGGATCAACTGATTAATCTGTTTGGTCTCCAGGAGTCACACAGACCACACTCTGTAAATTCTACAGTTTGTCCACACAGTTAAATCTACACACTCACCTTAATGTATCCGATTATATATCGAAGTTCTTTCTCCGTGTCCTTCAATTTCTGCACAGACTTCGAACAGGTTTCTTGGAGTTTTTTCTAAGAGAATACAGAAGATAAATATCAATCAGTGCTGCTCGCTCAAATATACTTTTCACGCTTCACCTTCAAGATGGACTCTTGATTTTACAACCACAGCTTTGGATCGTAGCAGGGCTCATTTCACTGTGTTTAATGTTTGAAATGCTGAAGCTTTAGATTGTCCATAGATTAATAAATTAAAGGTCTGTTGAGTCGGCTGTTACCTATCAACAGATTATGAATAAATTGATCAATCTATCTTTTTAATCCAGCAAAATTTAGGTTTAGCCAGGTTTTATTTAGAGATTCATTTCCAGCTAATTAGTGGAGGTGACTCAAAAAATACTGCGGAGGTGAAGGAGGGAAGAGACACGAGTTATAGAATATACTTACCGTACAAACACCAGTGTGGTTGTGCAGTGCAATCTCTGTCTACATACATTCTTTCCCCGATTCATATATATATATATATATATTCATGTCACTGTGACCTTTGACCATTTAAATCTAAGCAGTTCATTCATTAATCCAAGTAAATGTTAGTGACGAATTTGAAAGCGTTTGCTTGAAGTGATATAACATCACAAAGTGAAACGTGTTTCAGAGGTGACAGGGACCCATTGACCTTCGACCCCCACGCACCAAACTCCAATCAATACATCTGAGTCTGAGTGAATGCTCCCTGAATCCAATTATGATCAATATACTGACTTTGACATGTCATCATCAGAGGAATGACTAGAATAAAGTGAATACTCATCGTAGTTGTAGTATAAATATAAATGACTGTGTTTAGAAATATATTTTACAGAGTGTTCATACACACCTGTTGTGCTGATCTCTCCTCTGCCACTGAGACTGTGTCGTGGCCCTTGTGTCTCTCCTTCAGGCACTGAGTGCACACACTGTGTTGGTCAGTGCGACAGTACAGCCTCAGTGATTTGTCGTGCTGCGGACACATCTTCTCTCTCAGCTGATCTGAAGCTGGGAGCAGTTTATGAGTCTTTCCATGAGAGCGCTCTTCGTGGACTCTCAAGTGAGCCACACAGTACGACTGCATACAAACCAGGCAGGATTTCACAGCTTTGCTCTTTCTCCCCGTACAAACGCTGCATTTCACTTCATCCGGTTTGACCAAGGTTTGGGCTGAAGCTTTCAGTCCGCTGCGCTGAAACTGTTCCACCACTTCACCCAGAACCGTGTTTCTACTCAGCAGAGGTCTGGGATTAAACACCTGCCGGCACTGAGGGCAGCTGTACTGGCCTTTCTGCTTGGTCSTGTTCCAATAATCCTCGATACAGTCCAGACAATAGCTGTGTCCACAGGGGATCGTCACCGGGTCTCTCAAAACCTCCAGGCACACTGAACAACAAAACTGGT